CCTGTGAGCCCAGTGGCCGTCTGCGAGACAGCGAGACACAGCGAAACCCAGCCCGAAACCAACCCGAACCCACACACACACAGCCTGGCTGGGAGTTTGTGTGTGTGCTCACACACCGACTCACAGCCTCGCCGCGTCCCGCCGTCTCAGGGAGGAGAAATCGGCGGAGCTGCAGCTGAGTAAAGATTGAGAGTGTGTGTGAGGAAGTCCGCCGATTGGTCCATTTGGACCAATCCATGGACTTAACGTAACGGCTCCGCGGACGTAACGGCTCCGCGGACGTAACGTAACGGCTCCACGGATTGGTCCATTTGGACCAATGGGTCCATTTGGGTGTGCTTAATGTACATAGATAATTATATCATACATCATATATAAACAGAGGTGTAAACGGTGGTAAAACAGTATATAATAAAAGATAAAGTGTAACACCTACTTCCTGTATCCATAATCTTTTTCTTAATCTTTGCATTGTGTGTAGTCGTTAACACTTTGTATGTTGCTGTTACATTAAATATATTTTACTTACATACACACAGCTATTTTTTACCTACTTGCATGTACATAATAGTTCTTTGTTCACCTATATTTGCTCAGATTGGTATTCCTTGTTTTCAGCTCTACTGTATCTAGCTTTCCGTAAATCGTCAAAATAACGTCAACGCAACTTAAAACCAGAGTCAAATGCAGACATGTCCAATAAAGCTGGTTGGTTGTTGTAAAGCAGGGGGGTCAAACTCAATTTCATGGCGGGCCACATCAGCATTATGGTTGCACTCAAAGGGCCGGTTGTAGCTATATAAATATACATATATAAATATATAATATATATATAAAATTATGTATTATATTACATTATTGCCTCTGTATTTGATTATTATCGGAGAGGGTATAATGACTTCATAATTAACTAGTCTGAAAGCAGAAGTCTGGGGAAAATAATTACAACCAATTGCAAGTCCCTTCAGTGCGCATGTCACAAAATGAGATGCATTGTGGGACATGTAGTATATGGGCAATGTACTTCTGTAAAGTGGCATGTAACCGTATAATAAACGTATTCTATTCTTTGCAAGCTCTTGAGGGCCGCATAAAATGAAGTCGCGGGCCGTATTTGGCCCCCGGGCCTTGAGTTTGACACCCCTGTTGTAAAGCAGGCATTTCCTATCAGTGTGTTGAGGAAATAAAAACACATATGGTCTCGATAAAGCCAAAGACTCCAATTCTCTTTAGGTGACGTCTAGACCGGATTCAGTCCCTATCAAGTTAAAAGCAAAGTAAGGATGTTCTTTAATCCGTTTTGAAGGCTTTCTTCTTCGATTGAAGTCATACGATGATAACAGTTTGATAAACTATACTGCAGGCCACTCAGAGACACCATTAAACCAACTGTCTGATAGTGAGAGAGTTATTAATGGCCCTATAGAAGTTATGTGCATTTCCTGTCGCGTGACAACTGTGTGTGTGTGTGTGTGTGTGTGTGTGTGTGGTGTGTGTGTGTGTGTGTGTGTGTGTGTGTGTGTGTGTGTGTGTGTGTGTGTGTGTGTGTGTGTGTGTGTGTGCTAAAGATTAGGGGCTCACTGGTGTGTGTCGTAGAACAGATTAACCCAAGACTGCTTCTCCTGCACTCAATAAGGTTGTGTGTGTGTGAGAGAGAGAGAGTGTGTTGTAAAGGCATTTCTCACAGTTGCTGAGGGTCTCACACACCACATAACGAGGGCAAAAGGCAGATTCTTTTCACTGTATGATTGAAGAAGGAAACTGTACAAAATCTGAAGTGCATTATGTGACAAAAAACGAACCAACGTTTAGGACCATAAAAGAGACGGAGAAGTTAAGTTAAGGTGCATTACCTCCAACAGAAGCCGTCCCCATTCTCTCCACATGAAAACTACCACAAAACCACAAAAATCTAACACAACACACATATTCCCGGAACTTTAAATCGGTGTTTGTTTCCCCGGGGACTCTTTTGTTCGCACACCATGGAAGTAAAACAGGACAGGTGAGTGTTTAGAACATTATACGTTGTTTTAATATATATATATATATATATATATGTACCTTTACAATAACGCTCTCAAAGCTGTATCATAGACGCTCCTGTTGTTTGACGGAGACACGGAAAATGGCTCCGCTAACCTGTTGAACCCATAGACTGTATAAAGGTTGAACCCCATCCCCCCCGGTCATCTGCAGGAAACAGCGTCTGAGGGCTCCTTAGTATTTAATAAACTATGAATGTTTCATATCCATGTAACGGGAAGAAAAAAACCACAAAGCTAGCGCTGAGCCTCTGAATTAGCCACGAGCGAAACAATCTTAAGGCCGTTAGCACAGAACTCTAGCTATACCGATCGATGTACTTATTGGATCTGCACAAACAAGCTTAGATAACATCCTGAGAGTCCACAGATTCTAGAAATATAAGTATCATCACTGAGCGATCAGAACTCGTGACAAGGGAAGCAAAGACAACACACGACGTAGCTTTAGGTAGCAAAACACGGAGATATGCTCACTTTAGCTGTTATTCTGATCAACAGTCGTGTTCAATGGCATTAAAACGAGAAAAAACGTGGCTGAAGGTTAATCCATAGGTTAATCCAATGTGTCTGTCACTTTGAAAAAAGTATTGATAATCCATAATTCAATTTGTATGCAAAAATCGGAGAATAAATATTAGCTGCTAATGGTAGCCACCAGAGTGTGTTGCAGCTCCGGTTTTGGCTACGCGTCACTCTCACTCCTTATTTGTGTGTGTATGTGGAACTTTCCCTCGATTCCATTGGCTCTAGCGGTCAAATCTAGCGGTTAATCATCAAAATTGACCAAGGGGGGCCAGAGATATGGAAAATCCACCCAAATGGCCCCAGAAGTGTTTTATTTTGTTGCTAAATCTCTCTTAAAAATGTCAAATGTCACTTGTTGTGCATCAATCTTGATACAGGGTACTTATTATATGTTGTACTTTGGATTCCTAAAGCTTTTAGTCTACTATCCCATCATTCAAGGGTGGTTTTCACTATAAGTAAAAAAGAACTTTTGGACCGACAATATAATTTACAGTTTTCATGTTCAATCTGAATTTTCTTTAAAATAAAAAACATCTATATTGATTCTGACTTTTCTACATCCAACTCAAAGGTTTATTACTTTGAGAAAAAAGATTATTAATATTCCCCTTTTAGAAGTGTAGTTATGGTCATTTGTTCTGGAAATGTCATTTTCGAGCCTGAGACCTGAAAAACAGGGATGGGGTTTAACAGGATAATCACTCAATACAATCACCTCTCAGTTTACCTGCAGATTATATCGACATTCAATAAAGTTTTTTGTTTTTTTAATGTAACACGTGCTTGTGTCATTATTCTACTGTTAATATGACATTGTTTTCCTGTGCAAGACATCTAACAACTGTGTCGACTATACAAAACATGGATACCCTGGGAAAAAAACAGCCAATCAGAAAGGCCTTTGTGATTACCGAGGGTTGTTGCCAGGTAGGTTACAGCAAGACGAATTCCTCCTATGAGTTCATAGGAGGAATTCGTCTTGCTGTTTTTGGTGCATATACATAAACATGCAAATAAAAACAATGATAAAGACATATTTTAGGGAATAACATTAAACTAAAGCAATATTTACATTGAATACTGATGGTATAGGTATACCTGTGCATATGTGCATTTTACTTTATCAGGCTATTTTTCTAAAACAGTTTCTAAAACGTACAATATTTAAACAAACACGCACTACGAATAACATTCTTACATTACATCTCTTGTATAAGCAACAATGTTTAACATATAATGACTGCTGGCCAAGTTCCCATAAATAAAATCTAAATCTTAAGCCTGATCTGTAGTTAAAAAAAAAAGGCTATTATTTGCATTAATAAACAGAACAGGACACGCTAAAGCACTATTGTATATTGGGCATCATTGCAGTAAGAAAGTGTTTGGTTGAAAGGCAAAATCCTCCAGACTATAGTGACTCAAATGTTTTTATTTCTAAACAAAACTGTTTTTTTGCCCACATTATTTGGTGACACTCAGAGGAGAGGGTTTCTGGTTCTAGTTCATATTTAATCTTATTCTAAAAAATTAAATGTGTGTTTTAGTGAGAGTGTGAAGCATCACTTTATTGCTGCCATTAATTATCAAATAGCTCCATCTTGGGCAAACATCTCTGCTGTTGACATGTTGGGTTAGTGACTCTCAACATGAGGTCTAGGGCCCTCCAGGGGTCCGCCGGCACGTCAATTCCACTTGTTATTTCTCTCCTTTATTGTCCAAATTAATATGTTTTCCTCACCATCATTTCCCCATATCATGAAGACACATTATTCTTAAACCACACTCAAAGTTCAAATAAAATAGTGCAAGATAATGGTGCAAGACTAATGTGCAAGTAATGAAAGAAGTGAAATAAATTAAAAATAGAATGTAATAGTATGAACATGCCATCCACTTGTTACTTCCCTATTTTATATTGTCCAAATAAATATATTTTTCTTACCATAAGTCATTTCCCCTCTGTCATCACCCCATATGAAGTCATTATTCTTAAACCACACTCCCTGTGTATTCTCTGCAACATTAAGCATATTGTACTATTTTTTTTTAAATTACATTTATATAGTTCACTTCTTCCGCATTACTACTTTGGTCTTGCAACATTATTTTTGCACAATTGTGTTTCTTGTCTGTTTCTTCTTGCATCATTTGCTATTGTTTTTTACGTATGTCTCATGTTGCATTGTTTGAGGAGCATGGGACTTGAGATGTTCATTGCATTATCCACCCTGTATGTAGCAGCTGTGCATATGACAATAAAACCTTTGAATCTTGAATTTGACATGTATCAGGATTTTTTATTGGCTGCTGCTGTGGGACAGTGCAGAGTGTGACGTGGAAACAGACGCAGTGATTGGAGGGAGGCCGGGAATTATAAGGGGAGGCTGCCTCGGACTGAAGCTTCCCAAAGAGCAGCGGCTTCAGATCAGGCACCGCAGGACAGAGTTAGTGGAGTCAGAGCCTCTTCCTCCACAATGCAGCCGACAACTCGACTCACAACCCGGCAGTAACAAGTGTTTCCAAAGCGGCGAATATTTACGCGAGAAGAGTGTGCGTAAAGAGCGAGGACAAACTGTGCGTAATTTTCTCTTTTTTTCTCTCTTGGAGTGAAAAAGCAGGCGGGGTTAAGCTTTTCCTGGAGGATTTTTTTAATTTATTTTTCATTTAAAGGGGAGTATTTTGGTCACAGACTTATCACCGACATGGAGTACACGTCGTCCCCGAAACCGCAGCTCTCGTCCCGGGCAAATGCTTTCTCCATAGCCGCCCTGATGTCCAGTGGGAAGCCCAATAAGGACAAGGAGACGGAGGAGAACACCATCAAGCCTCTGGGTGAGCATGGAAGAGGGCATGCAGAATTAAATATAAAGCACATTTGAGTAGAAATCAGGTGATTTTATGCGTAAAATTATAACTGTTAAAGGAAGGATTTAAGTGGAGACATGCAGCCAATGTAGCAACAGAGAGGAAAAATAACCAAACTGCAATCAATTCTCTATTTAAATAATCTACAAGTGTGATAACATGTCACAAGACAGCTAAATAAATATATATATATATATTATAAGCGAATAAAGTAGTGCATTGTGCTAAAAAAAAACGGTGCAAAAAGGGAACAGTCAAGGCTTCAGACAAGTAAATAAATAAATCCTGATAATTTCACACAAAAATAGCTTGTTATATTTACAAGGGAGTGTGTGTTTCATTATTTCGATTACAAAAAATGCATTTTTTTCTATTCTTTCAGTCATTAGTTATGATTTAAAACACGAAGGGGGAATGTGATTTGAATTGTGTGGTTCTTTTGAATTTTTACAAAAAATAAATAGTGATATTTTAGGCCCATACCTCACTGGGTTATGGAGCAGATCTCGGCAAACATTAAATACAATGTGAATGTCTTTTCATATTAATTGATGTCTTATATGGAACAATATGTGTTATTGAAGCTAAAGTGTGCCGGATTTCATCAAAGTAAAGTAAGGGATGCGCAAAATGTTTTATAGATGAATAAAACAACGGCATTTATTATTTGCATCACGTGGTTCATTCCCCTTAATGACGAACATTAAAGCTCTAGCCTAAATACCAAATATAAAATGTTGTTCCCATTTATTTCCCATTAACCAGGGCACAGAACAGTATGGATAATCTAGAAATAACAATGATTGAAAAGTGCTAAATACATGAGATTATAGACTTGTTATTAGATATATTCTCTTGTATCTGATTAAACAGAGCTTCAGATTCAGAATACTAAATATTAAATTAACATATAGTGAAAATGTGTCTTCGGCACTGGCAAATAAAATAAAATAACACTCATCATACACAAAAGACAACAACTCACACACACAACATAGAAATTGCATCAAGTGTCAGAGCTTCATGTTGGCAATACATTCCCAAAAATCCTCCTCACACTTCTGCTTATTTTCTTTTTCTAAAAAAAAAAGAACAATTTGTGGAGAAGTCTTCCTGCACGCAGCAGTCCCTCGCGGACCTGTCCTCGCTGGAGGGGCACGGGGACTACAGCGGGAGCGCACCCGCGGTGTGCACGGAGCCGCTCATCCCAACCAACCCCGGGGTCCCGAGCGAGGAGATGGCGAAGATCTCGTGCTGCCTCGAGACCAAAGAGCTGTGGGACAAATTCCACGACCTCGGCACCGAGATGATCATCACCAAGTCCGGAAGGTAGACCAATCAATGTCTGTGTAAAGATGTGATTCATTCTCATAAAAGGTCATTTTCATTTTACTTGACTGACTTTTATGAATATTTTGTTACTTTATTATATATCCAAGAGTCTCATGCAATATACAAATATATAATAAAATAATAATAATAATTGCCCCCCCCCTTTTTGATTTGTATGTTTACTTATTTTATGGCTTGTGCGCTGAGCTGTGTGATTTTTGTATTTTATTTACAACACTTTAGTCTAGAGGTTTTAAAGTGCTTTACAAATACATCTTTATTGTATGATGCAATCTTATAACATTTAATTGTTCCTGTTACTTAAAGGGCCGAAACCTTTATGCAGATGTTTTCGTAAAATGGGGAATGAATGCTTTAATGCGAAAACAACGCACACAAATATGTAGCCTGCTATCTTCTTGAGGTGTGCAGGTTCTTTGTCGCAATCCTCAGCTTTGGAAATATATTAAATTAGAAGAATCCTGCAGCCCTCTGACAGCAGATATGTGAACAGTTGACACACTGCAGAGTTCACGTGCTGATAAACACCTAGCCTACCTAACGTCCTGAGAGAAACAACGAGCTATGGGACCATATAAAGCCTTATTCAACAACCACTGGGTGTGCCCTTATACAAGTGAATTCATACATGTAATAGAAAGCCGAAGCCAGATGTATATTTGTATTATTTTCAAAAAGTATAACATTAGGCCTGTATTTCTGCACGTGTAAAAGCAAGAGAGTGTTTTGTTATAAATAATGTCATGCCGTTTTAGCAACGAAAAGAAAGGGGGGTGTGCATTCAGTTAGAAGAAATACACATGATAGTTAATTTATTGGATCCTCACTGTGTTTTTTATTTTACATTTCTAATTAATTTCAAGCCAACAACATAACAAAAATAGACAACGATTTTAGAAGGGAATTTTTCCTCCACCGATTTTATTAGGGCTTGGAAATAACATTTAGGAAATAAAAAATATTGAATAAGAAATAAATGAAAATCAAAGAAACCAAAATTATTCTTTGTGGCTATTGTATTCTCCGGGAGAGGAATGGATGTTTTTCAGTAGTTTCAAGTAAGCAACATGACCATATACATGTACCACAATAATAATTTAAAAAAACACCTGTCTCCTTTCCATCAGGAGGATGTTCCCCACCATCCGGGTCTCTTTCTCCGGGGTGGACCAGGACTCCAAGTACATCGTGTTGATGGATATCGTCCCGGTGGACAACAAGCGGTACCGGTACGCTTACCACCGGTCCTCCTGGCTGGTGGCCGGCAAGGCCGACCCTCCTCTGCCCGCCAGGTACACCCTCTCACCGGGACACACTCCGGGACACCTGTCATGGCCCATCGTAGAAAATACAGACTGTGAAAATCAATGACTGTTTTTAAAGTGTCAAGGCTATAATCTTTTAATTTTGTTTATGTACCTGACAGACAGACACGCTCATCGTTTTTATTGAACAACATGTGGGCCATATAGAAAACTGGAGAGCAAAGAGCTAATGGAGACCGATGGAATAATGTAATTGTTTACCAGGAAGCATCTGGGAACATTCATGCCATGCTGATTGATGTCATGAAGATGTCAATTCAACAATAGGCCAGATGAAGTCGTATTTGCTATTAATCCAGGCAATGACAGTGAGGTCATGTCCTCGGTATTTTCTTCGGATCATTTGCAGGTTTTAGAGTCAATAGGATTCTCAAATTTGACCATTTTAAGCCTAGCAAAAATAAGTTACTATATACATTTGAAATGATTCCAGTTTTCTGTCTTGGGTTATATTGAGGGACGTGATGTCCAAATATATAAGACAAAGAAATTAAATTAGGCAACTATTAAAAGGGTTATTTTAATACATTATTTAATACATTTCTGGGGAAAACCGAATTTATGATTGAGAGTAGACTAATAATTGCAGTCTACAAATATAATACTTATTTTGAATTTACATTTATATACGCTAATTCTTTAATTTGTAAATCATAAACAAATATTTGTATTTAATTAAATGGATTTTGATTTGTCCTGCAGCTATGCAATGTAACCTATAACCAATAACCTCGAAAATAATTTAAAACTATAAATTAAATATTTCTCCAATATTTAACGATCATATGGAACGCGGTTGCTGGGTGACTTATACTTTTCTTACTAGCCTTTTTTCACAGCTGTGCGTTGATTGGTTATCGAACACCGCTCAGCCAATCACAGTTGAGAATGTGACGGGGTTTTTTTTGTCTTCTTCCTCCTCAGGTTGTACGTGCACCCGGACTCCCCGTTCACCGGAGAGCAGCTCGTGAAGCAAATGGTTTCCTTCGAGAAAGTGAAACTGACGAACAACGAGCTGGACCAACACGGACATGTGAGCGCGTGTTACTCTTTACTCTGTCTTTGTTAACACACTAACGCACACGATGCAAATCAGTCAGTCAGTCGCCATTCAAGTAATACATCCGCGTCACGTAGGCCGTAAAACCAATGCATAGGTTTTACAATAGGCCTATATATATTACTGTCTGTAATTATTCTAATGCTTTAAGTCCTGAATTCAAAATCTTACCTCAGTAAAAGTACAAAATCAGCAAATTGTTCGTAAAGTATAAAAAGTAATCATTATGCAGAAAAATGTCTTTGATGTGTGTGTATAATTACATTCATACTATAGGTGACATGTATAGATAATGTTGCATCAATAAGCTTTTTATTAACAAAGTTCTGATTTCATTTTTGTAAAATATTTAAATAATTTGACTATTTTGTGGAGTTAGTCCACTAGTTTTTTATAGATGCATTTAGCTAAAGCTGTTTAATAAATGTAGTGGAGTAAAATTACAATATTTCCCATATTAATGTAGTAGAGTAGAAGTATAAAGTAGCATTAAATGGAAATACTCAAATACATGTAGCTCAAAATTGGGTACTACAGTACTATTTCCCACCTCTGGAAACATTGTGAAAATACATTAAGATTGCTGCATTTTACCAGAAAGGCAATACCTTGTGCCTGCTTATATTTGAGCTTTGTATAAAACTGTACTTAAAATGACTATTAGTTGTATTTGTGTTTAGGACTTCTGTTCAAATGTTTTTGTTTTAATTTCTGACTCACTAAATATGTCAGTTGAATTCTGGATATCGACCAAATTGCATGTGAAAACATTTGTTTAAAGGATCTTACAGAAATAGAGTTTCCATTGCAAAGCTTTGTCTCTGTGTCAGGTTCAAAGGCCGCTGGGACTTTATAATTACTCGCCTGTCAATACCAAGTCGCTCCTCTAATCCTCCTTTCCCTGAAGGCACCACGCCAAGCACAAGCAGGGAGCAGGAAAACATTTCAGAACCAAAAACATTTGAAGTTTATCCATGAATTAGCCATTAGACACAGCCTGAAAAACAAGGTGATTATTATCTTAAAGAGTTTTATAACCAGTCCAAAAATAGCTCCTGATGTTCACACGGAAGAAACCAAAACAAACAAAGAGCACATCGAACAAAAACAGGCGTTACTGTAAACCCCTTATCCAGATAGTGAATATTCATGTTTAATAAAGTCAATATTTTTACTTAAGCTGCTTGTTTTAACGAACACATTTTGTATACCAAAAATAAATTCATAAAATGGGGCGAAGCCTGCGAGCTAGTTCAGGCAGTCAACTCGAGCACTTATGCTGCATTCATACATAACGCCCCTTGCCACTCTGCAACCAACCAAACGGAGTCTCCTTAATACGCCGCTCTCCATGCATTGCTTGCTATTGCTATGTTAAAGAAACACCTGAGTTGTCTGACTGAAATGTGACATATAAAATAAAAAAAACAACATTTTTTAACGTTAATTAAGATGGGTCATTCTGGTGCTTCTGATCACATCACATGATCTTCATCAGCAGCTGGAGTTCGCCCAGTTTTCATTAAAAGGTTGGCATTCAAATCAACAATATTAAGCAGCACTTTAAAGACTTGTTAAACTAAAGGATGGCTTTTAAATGTGTTTAAATAATTAAAAATATGCACTTGTTGTTGGATAATGTGTGAACAATTCTGGAGTAAAGCCTTCAATTTTTTTGTATATCAACAGGATGAATTCTCATGTATTTTCTCAACATGTTTTCCATTGTTTAGTCTATAAAACGTCAAACGGCAGTGAAAACAACCTTCCTTTTTTCCCAAAGCCCAGTGGGATGCCTTCAAGCTAACTACGTAGCAATGATACGTGTGTCATAACCAAAAAGTGATGAACACAGGATTCCTGCCACCTTTTTCCACACCTTGACCCTCACTTTGACCGTCTGTCTTCACTGTTGACCCTTCACGTTTCCCATTGACCGTCATTCATTCTTGCCCCGCTTGTCCTCCTGCAGATCATCCTGAACTCCATGCACAAGTACCAGCCTCGGGTCCACATCATCAAGAAGAAGGACCACACCGCCTCGCTGCTCAACCTCAAGTCGGAGGAGTTTCGCACCTTCGTCTTCACGGAGACCGTCTTCACCGCCGTCACGGCCTATCAGAACCAGCTGGTGAGTGATGGGAATTAAAGGGCAATGTCTTCTCTTCTTCTTTGGATCAACTTGTAAACACTGCTCTTGCTTCCCATTAAAAGGAGAAGCTTCAAGACACATAGAGTAGCTTTTAATTATATCAAAGTAATTGGTCAAGTATTTAAAAAGTTCAATATAGGCTTTGAAAATGTTGTAATGTAGAGTATTGAAAAGTATCAATGGAAATACAGAAGGACAGTACCTGGCTAAGTATAAAGTTAATACGTATCTTTAAGTCCTGAGCGCCGTTGTGTTTGTAAAGAGAGCCGAGCTGCAGGAAGCCGCGTGTTGGGACACAGAAGGAGAAATGTTTTTAAAATAAAGGAGACGCATTTAAGCTCCGGTGTTTCCCAGATCACCAAACTGAAGATCGACAGCAACCCGTTCGCCAAAGGTTTCCGGGACTCCTCGCGGCTGACGGACATGGAGAGGTACAGGGGATTCTGGGTCCTGCGCCGTGTGTTTACTCACGATAAGATACAAGAGTGTGTGTGTGTGTGTGAGACAGAAGCTACCCTGTTTATATGTCTTTCTTTCTTTCCTTCTTTCCTCAATAGTCATTTTTTCATTTACATTCTTCCTTTTTTTTTTTACCTCTTTCCATATTTTCTTTCTTTTGTATTGTATCTTTCTTTCCTTTTTCTTTCTGTTCCTGCTTTCCTTTCTTCTCTTTTCCCCGTCCTTCCTCCCTCTGTCTTTGACTCTTGCCATCCCTTCTGACCTGGTCGTCTCCCTCATTCTTCCTTTATTTATTCTTTTGTCCTTTGCATTTTTCTTGTCTTGTTGAGTGTTTTGTTTTTCTCTAGTTTTATACAAACGTTTATTTGCCTTCTTCGATATATATATTTTTTCTTCAACCTTTTCATTCTTACATTTCTTTGTGTTTTTTCCTCATCTTCATCCCATCCTCCTAAATCATATATGATGTCTTTCCCTTTCCTTCCTTTCTTATCTCTCCATCTTGTATATCTCTTCTACTTTATTTAAGTGAATCATCCTTGTCTTTGTCTTTTCTTTGCCTCTCCATTTATTCTCTATTAAGTTCATGCTGTTTTACGTACTGTACCGTATTGTGCATAACAAATCGATGCCCCACACACACACACACACACACACACACACACACACACACAGTTACAAATCCCCATCCAAAGGATTTTTATTGACGCTGCCAAAACACACACTTCTCGTAATTCCTGATTCCGGCACTACGGCCAAAATCAGCTGACAAAATCAAACCATCTGCTCATTTCCCTCAATCGAACAATCTGAAGCAGAGACGTCCAAATCTGAGATCCAGACACCCCCCCCCCCCCCCCTCCTCTTCCTCCCACCTCCTCCTCCTCCTCTTCTTCTTCTGTGTCTTTCTCTTTTTGAGGGCTGTGAATTAGACCTGATCAATTGATCTTCGGGGAGCTGCAGAAATCACATTAGTCTGGAGTCGGCCACTGCACTAAAACACACTGTAATTCAATTGGCTGCAGTGACTGATAGAAACCAGCATGCAGCCCCCCCTCTTCCCCCTCCCCTCGCCCCTCGTGCATTGTGGGAGTTCGCTGTGGCCTCTGTGCCGGAGGGGCCCGACGCTGATAAAAACACACACATTTGTACTCCTCTGCTGACAGATATTGCACTTTCCTAACCTAATTGGAGCTGCAGAGGGAGGGGGGGCTGCTAATGTGGACGCATGGCTCTTATGACGCAGACCACTTGCCTGTCACACACACCACACACACACGTGCCCACTGCCTCCCCCAACAATTTGTGTCACTGTGTTTGAGAAGTGCTATCTGACAAGACTCAAATGAGCTAATGGACTTTGTGGGATAGTACACACACACATGCGCACACACACACACACACACACACACACACACACACACACACACACACACACACACACACGCACAGTCTGTACAAACATGACAACAACTACACACAGCATGGACACACACATATCAGACAACTAATAATGTGCAAACACAGACGAAGTTGGTAAACATTATTTGTATTGTGGCAAGGATTTTTTTTTTAAGCTAATTTATAATTAAAGTTAAAAATAATGAAGAAAAAGTCATAGATTTTATTGTAATGCTGGAACTGCAAGACAATATTTGTATTCAAGTGCTCGTAGCAAATATTTTGTATACACATTTTAGAGGTAAAAATGCAGGCGCTCATGTCGAATTCATATTCCACAATTATCTGCTGTGAAAATCCTCATGAACAAGAATTTGTGTTCTGTGTTTTGGGGTGCGTCATGAATCCCTACAATAGAAGCAAAGAGATTTATTTTGGGGCTCTCTCTTCGGCTTTTGCTGCAGGGAAAGTGTTGAGAATCTGATCCACAAGCACTCGTACGCCCGGTCGCCGATCAGGACCTACGCCGGAGACGAGGAGAACATGAGTGAGGACGGACTGAGCATACACAACAGAGGTGAGAACACACACACACACACAAATGCACACACACCTTGTTGGAACTTTTGATTAATGATTTGAATATTAACCAGATTGATTTTGAGTTAAATTCAGTTTTTATTTAAAGAGACCCAATTGTGCTTTTTAGGGTTTTCCCTTTCCTGTAGTGTTATAGGTTTGTGTGCCTATGGTCTGTAAAGGCTACAATCTCAAAGTTCCCTGATACTGATATACACCTGAACATCAGCAGGAGAGGACTCTTTAAAGTAGAGACACTACATACTGATATACACTTGAACATCAGCAGGAGAGGACTCTTTAAAGTAGAGACACTACATACTGATATACACCTGAACATCAGCAGGAGAGGACTCTTTAAAGTAGAGACACTACATACTGATATACACCTGAACATCAGCAGGAGAGGACTCTTTAAAGTAGAGACACTACATACTGATATACACCAGAACATCAGCAGGAGAGGACTCTTTAAAGTAGAGACACTACATACTGATATACACCTGAACATCAGCAGGAGAGGACTCTTTAAAGTAGAGACACTACACACTGATATACACCTGAACATCAGCAGGAGAGGACTCTTTAAAGTAGAGACACTACATACTGATATACACCTGAACATCAGCAGGAGAGGACTCTTTAAAGTAGAGACACTACATACTGATATACACCTGAACATCAGCAGGAGAGGACTCTTTAAAGTAGAGATACTACATACTGATATACACCTGAACATCAGCAGGAGAGGACTCTTTAAAGTAGAGACTCTACATATTGATATACACCTGAACATCAGCAGGAGAGGACTCTTTAAAGTAGAGACACTACATACTGATATACACCTGAACATCAGCAGGAGAGGACTCTTTAAAGTAGAGACACTACATACTGATATACACCTGAACATCAGCAGGAGAGGACTCTTTAAAGTAGAGACACTACATACTGATATACACCTGAACATCAGCAGGAGAGGACTCTTTAAAGTAGAGACACTACATACTGATATACACCTGAACATCAGCAGGAGAGGACTCTTTAAAGTAGAGACACTACATACTGATATACACCTGAACATCAGCAGGAGAGGACTCTTTAAAGTAGAGACACTACATACTGATATACACCTGAACATCAGCAGGAGAGGACTCATTAAAGTAGAGACACTACATACTGATATACACCTGAACATCAGCAGGAGAGGACTCTTTAAAGTAGAGACACTACATACTGATATACACATGAACATCAGCAGGAGAGGACTCTTTAAAGTAGAGACACTACATACTGATATACACCTGAACATCAGCAGGAGAGGACTCTTTAAAGTAGAGACACTACATACTGATATACACCTGAACATCAGTAGGAGAGAACTCTTTTTAAAGTAGAGACACTACATACTGATATACACCTGAACATCAGCAGGAGAGGACTCTTTAAAGTAGAGACACTACATACTGATATACACCAGAACATCAGCAGGAGAGAACTCTTTAAAGTAGAGACACTACATACTGATATACACCTGAACATCAGTAGGAGAGAACTCTTTAAAGTAGAGACACTACATACTGATATACACCTGAACATCAGCAGGAGAGGACTCTTTTTAAAGTAGAGACACTACATACTGATATACACCAGAACATCAGCAGGAGAGAACTCTTTAAAGTAGAGACACTACATACTGATATACACCTGAACATCAGCAGAAGAGGACTCTTTAAAGTAGAGACACTACATACTGATATACACCTGAACATCAGTAGGAGAGAACTCTTTAAAGTAGAGACACTACATACTGATATACACCTGAACATCAGCAGGAGAGGACTCTTTAAAGTAGAGATACTACATACTGATATACACCTGAACATCAGCAGGAGAGGACTCTTTAAAGTAGAGACACTACATACTGATATACACCTGAAAATGAGCAGTCAAAGTCAACTTTATTGTCAATCTTTCAGTTTGTGTGTACAGACAGAGAGATCGAAATACCGTTTCCCACAATCCCGAATCCAAAAACAAATATATATAAAAATATGTATATCCTATATATATACACAATCAAAGACACATTTATACATGCACACATTAAGACCTAAATAAAAGCACAACAATCAATATATACAAAATAACAGTCACTTCAATATCTTTAAAAGCCTACAGTTAGCCACTTCCACCCTAATACCTGTGTGTCCTCCTGCAGGCTCAGCGTTCTCCGCCTCAGACAACCTCTCCCTGAGCTCCTGGGTCACCTCCGCCTCGGGTTTCTCGGGCTTCCAGCACCCACAGTCTCTGTCGGCCATGGGCTCCGGCTCCCTGCCTCACCCCATCCAGGGCTCCCTCCCCCCCTACAGCCGGCTGGGCATGCCCCTGACCCCCGGCGCTCTGCAGGGCAGCGGGCCCTCCTTCCCCTCCTTCCACATGCCCCGCTACCACCACTACTTCCAGCAGGGGCCGTACGCCGCCATCCAGGGGCTGCGGCACCCCTCCACCGTCATGACGCCCTTCGTATGACTCCGTCCTGGGGGAGGAGACGGCCCATCTTCACCTCAACACCCCAGAGAAAGCAGTTATCCCTCCACTCACCACTCCTCATCCTGTTTGTACCTTTCCCCCTGGTCTGTGTAAATAGTTTAGCGAGCGAGAGGAAGGGGATTCGGCGTTCTGATGATGAAAAAAAAGGACTGTGGCGCCTCGTGTTTCTACGAACGCTTTACTGACATTGTACAAACGACCTCAAAACAACCTAAGACTGTACAGTGGGGCGTGTTTGGTTTTGGCCCTTGAAGAACAGAAAGTGGATGCTCACCTTAAAACTCAACTGAACAATATTTAGAAGACCCTCTGAAGGGTCTACGAGGCTTTACATTCGAAAAGGAGAAGACAAACTTGACTAACCCCTCAAAGGACATGTACTAAGCTGTGTGACCCTGTAATAAAGCAGCCTAAGAAGAGGACTTTGAGAGACTCACCCGACGCTGCAGTTTGGTGGACACTGAGGACATTTCAGCGTCGCAGACTCTCAGCTTTTCTCTGTTTTTATAGAAAGCCAGCCATATGTACAGCTCCTCGCTCAGTTCGAAATAATGTCTGTTCAAATGCATTAATGCAACATTTACTCGTATGGAAATCCTCTCTGTAGATTGCTAAAAGAAAATATTCAAAGGACGCATGCTGACCGCAGTAGAAACACGCTGGGGAACTTTATATGGAATATTATGGGATGATTAAGCGCTAACCTGCAACAGGGTGAAGGCTCTTTGTGTGCTTTAAAGGCTCGGTCAATAAAATAAAAAAAACGACAACAAAATCTATTAATTTATATCAAATCTGTGGATGATTCGGAATGATTTTCCTGCAGTTATTCCTCAGAACACGTTGACAGTGACCGATAGCTAACTGTCCCCACAGTGCCGATGTTACTGAAGTTACAAGAGACGGATAAATCAAAAATGTTGGAAACTATACTTGTTATTTATTTATATGAAAAACAAACGGTTCAAAAATTGGCTCTGATATGTCAAACAACTTCCATAAAATCATGTATTTATATTATTTCCCCCCGTCAACATGTTCTAACGACCCTCACGCCACATGCGTTTGCTGTGGGAGTTACTGGTGTGACTGGGCCTTAATTAAGATGGAGTCAACGACACAATGTGTTTAAATCATCAGGTTTCAAGAAGTCCGATTTGACTTCAGTGACCATAAATGTGTTTCCTCTGGGCTTTAGGGGAACAAACAGGCTTTAATTTAACCTCATTAATCATGCATTGACATGTCTTGTAATGTCCATAAACATTTGAAGGGTAACAGTAGCGTGACGCAGCATGAGTGTGAAACATCCCTGTGTGGCCTGCAGCCTGTTAGCGCTCGCTGTTAGCGCTCTGATTCATGGCTGCAGCTCAGCGAGGACAGAGCGTCTGCACCTGGAAGTAATGGCTCTGCTCTCTCATTTAAAACATGCAGGCTACTAAAGGCAAGTGGTGACACTCATTAGCGGTGCAGGTGCATACAAACGGCAGCTCACTGGGGAGAGTCATTTATTTAAGAGATATGAAGAAATACAAGTTACACAGCAGGTGGCGTTGACGTACCTGAAGCACCACATTTTACATCAAGTAGCTCATGATCAAAAACTCTCCATCTCTTCGTGTCACTGTCTATAAATGAATCCTAAAAACTAGAGACGGATATATCTGTGTTTGTCGGCTGATAAATAACAACAATTTGCAGAGATGTTATTCATAAAAACACTGTCCATTTTGCCACTTTTGTCCCACTTCACTTATTATTCCTCGGTGCTTTTCTGATTAGAGTCTATCACATATCAGAAAATAGCATGTCCAAATGATAACATCCAAGAAGTTAAGGTGACAAATTAAATTGAATGTATGATCATCTTTCTAAACCCTCACAATATCAGTTTTCTGTCAGACATCAAGTTTTTTTCCAAGACTAATTGCTAGAAAATGACTGATACAATATAGATTTCAAAACAACTTCCAATAATGTTCCTATAGGGGAAAATCTCACTTTGACGGACAACATTCTGGTGCAGATCTTTTGCCGTGAGGCTGTCATGATTTATGTGAAAAAAATCCAAAGACACAAATCTATAAATATGTGGGCTTGTTGCATCAGAAATGGGACGTCGTGTTGATGTATGACTGCTTTATGGACGATTAAGACTTTTCTCTGTGCAGGGTTATAACTAATGTATACATTTGGGTTTCACAAACACTGTTAATGTCACAGTTTGCCACATTTCTCACATCATATGAAGCCAGTTGAAGTTGAATATGGACATATATGCTCTTCTGACCCCTTGCATAATCACTCGTGTGCAAGCAGCTCGTTTTATCCCATCTGTTCATTGAGGACGTCTCCTAATTTACCTTTTAATTGAGCTTTGTGTGACAGGTGTGTACATGAACCGAGTGTTAATATCATCAGCGTAACCATAAGCCCCTCCCCCTTCACCACTGAGAATAATCTCCCTTTTTTTTAACATGAAAACGTTTTATTTTGTATGCCATGATATGACACCGAACAAGATTTTTAAGTGCAATATATTTATTTTGCTCTCTGGAAAAGTAATGTGTAATGTACTATGCCGCATTTAAAAAAAAAAAAAAAAAAAAATAGTTATTTGTAAACATTGAGAAATATATATCACCACCCAAAAATCTGTGTTTTTGTTTTCACTTCTCTCTCCATGAATCACAGAGTCATTAATACATTAAATTATAAGACCAATTCAAAACTGCAAAAGGTATTTAAGGGTTCAGGGAAGATTTTTTTATTTAGAAAAGCCAGCATTTTGGGGGATTTCTTTCTGTTTTTCCAGCTTACCCATTTAAATTATTTTGTATCTTTCAGTTTGTATGCAAAATATTAAACGTTGAGATGCCAGATTGGACAGCAGTAGCCACGTTATGTTCCACTGAGAAACGACAACAAATCTTCTTTCTTGAACTTCACCATGATATAAAGACACAGCTCTTATAACTACATTTTTAGGGCTAATATTGAAATATTTCTCCTTTGTTATATTTCTAAGCCATTTAAAGAATGTTATATTATCCAGTTTGAAGTTGGGATTACATATAAAACATTAAGAAGGCAACATTAGTTATCTAGAACTTTTACATCCCTGAGAAAAACAGCAGAAACTGATATGAGTATCTCTAACAGATCCTACACCGCCACCTAGTGGTCAGCTGTTGTATTGCCTTGTTCCTCAACAGGTTCAGCTTTCAGATGTGTCCATGCCTCTACATCACATTAGCAGGAGTGATCTAAAATTATTTAAAATGGGCCATCTGATGAAACACAAGTCAGAATAATACTTCAACAGACGTATTCATGAAAAAATACTAGCTGCAGATAACCTCGCAGTCAGGGCTCAGTCTGCAGGGACTTGGTCTTTGAACTGAAGGGTTGCCGGTTCACATCCTTATCGAGAATAAACAAAAAGACATGACGACATGAGAGTTAAATCCTGACCAAAGATCATGACTGCTGCAGTCACTTGATTAGTGGAGATCATATGTTGAACTGTTGGAGGAGCCTGTGACCTGTGTTTCATTGACATATCTGTAGCTAATGTACGAATGACAATAAAGCCTTGAATCTTGAATCAGGAACACCTGATCACGCTCAGCAGAGGCGGAGCCAGGAGCTGATCAGGTGTTCCTGAGCAGTGAGGAGAAGGAGAACAAAAGGGGTGTCGTATTCATAATCTGTACTAACTGTAAAGTCCACTGAGACAAATGTAAAATGTGTGATATTGGGCTATATAAATAAACTTTGGTTGATTGATTGATCGATTGGTTGAGGGGGAGACGAGTAACAAAGCCATCAAAGTGAAGAATCAGTACACAGAACATCACAGACTCGCAAAGTGATGAAAATATTACATCAGCTTTCTCATACTTTATGAAACTGAACATCAGTATTAAAGAAATCATTTGCTTATTGTATTTTTAAAAAAATGAAGGAGGTAAAACTCAAGAGATAGGTTGTATGTAGACAGTAGGGGGTCTTAGCCTCAATCCAGAACACACCCCATCCTGCTCCCAGAAATACTCACTTGCAGACCAAATTTGGACCAATCTGCCGTAGAAAATAGTCCCCAACTTATTCTCCTTTAGAGTAACATTTTCACAAAACTAGTGACCAGCTAGTTTAGGCAATGTGTAACCTGTTCTAAGAACCACCTGCATGAACACGCACACACACACACACACACACACACACACACACACACACACACACACACACACACACACACACACACACACACACACACACACACACACTCTCTCCACTGAGTCTAATGATGCCTCCATCAAACAGATAGTTCGAAGTTAAACGCCTTTTGGTGAGAGCTACTCTCCTAATTTCTTTGAATAAAGAGCTACAGACAGGAAAGGCCTAAATCCAATCCAATCTGTTTCTTCTCACTTCCCACTTTCACTTTGTTCACATGGAGGGTCTGCTATATAACGTAACACCCCAAAGATGGAGGTTGGAGAGGCCTGATTGGAATCGGGCCGTATGTTAGACGCAGAGAGCGACCGTGGTTCTTTATGTTTAAATGAACTAGATTGTCTTTGCGAGCCCTCAAAGAGCTTTGCATATACAAGTGTTATTACACAGACAGGAGCTGGCACACACTTGATCAGGAAGACTACAATTCACACACACTCACACCGTTGGCCAATCTCCCCCAAGGACACTTCGACATGTTGACTGACCTCCAGATTTGAAGATCAGCTGAGCCACAGCCACCCTTATCTCTTTCATTTAAATGTAACCCATCATGTCAAGAAAATGACCAGCTGTTAAGATGATGAGATAATTACTTCTTTAAATGATTGCAACAATGACCAATTATTTCAGTAGTTGGTTTGAGTCTTCTCTTGTTAACTATAATGTACATTTAGATTTCATTATTAAAAAAAACACTAGCCTTAAGCACACCATGTTCATATGTTCAGTCCAATTTTGCTAAAAGGATCTAAAATAACTACGACCTCACATTGTGTCGATCAGGTTTACACAGCAACTCTTAAATCTTTGTGTTTCATTAAAGTCCTCAGGTTGGATTGTCTGCCTTTTTCACCTCCGTCCTGCCGTGTGTGTCTGAAGATGTCTCCTCATCGCTTAAATCAGAAACGTAACCCTTCACGTCAAGAGAATTACCAACTGTTTCCCTAAAATGATGAGTCAATTAACTATTACAATTATTGCAACCATGTCCATTTATTTTAGTAGTTTGTTTGAGTCCTTTCTTGTTGACAATAATTAAAATGTTTAATATGTTCTACACTAGCTTTAAAGGTGGGGTAGGTAATTCACTTCAGAAACACTTGTTATATTCCATGGAATGCTCTTAACATCCCGATAGCAATGAATATATTAAATGCTTTGACAATAAATACATACACAAATTAATCAGTGGAAGCCGTGGCGCTGTAAAAAGCACGACCAATCTTCTGAGCCGGCCCGGCTAAAGTAACTGGATGGCCTACCTGCCTGTCAGCCTTCCATCTGTGCACAAACTTATCTCATGCCCTCATTGGTCATGCGCGCGTTCGTGTGTGTTGGAGGAGGGGCTCTGTAAGGAAGTCTGAAGGAAGGGGCAGATTGTTTTCGGCTGCGTACTTTCAAATTCTAGCGCACTCGAGCTGGTTTCTCCATTCTTACCTACCCTACCTTTAAGGTGTTTGCACTCCATGTTTTGTATCAGAAATGGTCACTCTTTTAAAAAATGAACTACGACCTCACAATCTCGTTTGCAGCAACTAGGTTGAGTTTCCTGCATGTTGTGTCTGAAGATGTATCCTGCACAAAAAGTTTAAGAAGGTTAAGTTAGAGGGTGTGTTACCCTGCCAAAAACAAAATTAATGATGGACTAAATGAGACCAACAACATCCACTCAGAAACTCTGAGGAGTTAAATAATTGAAGCCATTTCTGAGATCATAAATCATAATGTACCGCAGAGCTAAAAGACCTGGAACTGAAATGCATAACAATATGCATCTTCCAATGAGAGAAGTGTTGTGGATTTACATTTTAGGCATTTTGCCGAATGCTTTTACGATCATAGACATTAGGCTACAGGCAAGCAGTGGCACTTAATGTGAAGGTTTGAAAGGGTCCAAAAATGTTTAATACGAATACAATTAAAACAATAAAACATCAAATCAGCTCAAATGTTAAAAGGCCTCATATGTACACATTAAATCACTATCCATGGACTTAAAAACACAACCATATTTGCACTATTGACTCCAGTAGGCTCCATAAACTAAACGCTCTTATCTATACACACACACACACACACACACACACACACACACACACACACACACACACACACACACACACACACACACACACACACACACACACACACACACACACACACACACACACACACACACACACACACACACACACACAAACACGTCTATCACCAGAAGCATCACCCTCCACCGCAGACGAACTGACGGATCGATGGCTGGACGTTAGTCACCGTTTCACCAGGAAGAAGGCCCCACTTCTGCCCTGATAAGAATCGGTTACATCCTTCGAAAATAAATAAATAAACAAATAAATAACATCCAGTGTGGCCGTGATTGGATTAAAGAGAGAGGGGAAGGACAAGACGAGCCACCGTGAGGTATGGCCTCACAAATTGGAGCCAACAGTCGGGCCAGAGAGTCCATTTTGGGGCATAATTTACACAGTGAGGAGCATGAGCTGCATCTAATGTAATTTCCATTAATTTTGCATTTTGGCCCTTTTTTTGCCTCTCCCCCCCCCTCCCCCCTCCCTCACCGGGCTTTTAGCGGTCGTTTGAATGGTCTGGCGGAGGACAGCCAGCGAGCATTACGATGTCTTGGACGTCATTTAGCACGGCAGCAGAGTGAGAGGTGGTTCTTTATGGCGTGGTGACTGCTGCACAATGGCAGCAAGTGCATCCATTGCTGCAGACCATCCAGCTAATGGCTAACAATATGCTAATAGGGTAAGATCCCAGAATCGGCCCAGACAAGCCACTTAATGGATGTTTTATCTGCAGGTCGAGAGTCTCATCAGCCGTGGTCTGTCCTGACAAGATGTGCCAAGTCAAATTTAGCGATAAAGCGTTTTTAACAAACAGAGTGCTTCAGGGAAGACAAAGGGCACAAACACACGGGAGGGTTTGTGCTGAAATGTGAAACCTGTTGGCAAACAATGGAACATCGTTTTAGAGGAAATACACCTTGAAAGCAAAGTTGCCCGAGGACAAAGAGAGACGACAGGACTTCCTGATGGAGATCCAACTAAATTCACTTCCTGCCCACAAACCATTGGGATTCTGCTGGAGAACAAATCCTTTTACCCCAGGTTTCAACTGAGTCTGACATTAAGGCTGCTGTCAGATTACTTCTGACACTTATGGGACTCTAAAGTATTTCTTTATGTAATGTCTTTAAGAAATAACCCAAAATCAGAGGGGAAGCATTGTAGCATTGCACAATATTTTAAAATGTTGAGGTACTTTACTTTGGTTGTGTATTTACAAATACAACACAAATATGATGTTGCTCCTATTTGTCACAAG